CAGACACTAGATACAGAGAACGCATATTACACATTACTCCCGCACACGCAAGCCCAGAGTGAGAATCTAGAGACAGGAAGCTGCTTCCTGGTCACTTAAGCTGGGTAGGTGGGGTGCTAACAGAAGGGGGCGGGTTTCTTGCTGAGGTGATTCATGTTCTTAACACTGGCTGTGCTGATGGTTCACATACATGTGAATACACTAAAAGCCATTGAATTGTGCACTTTATATGGGTGAGTTTTACGGAATGCAGACTATATCTCATTAAAGCCTTTTTTTTTTTTAAAGGAAAGAGAAATAGACCCACACTGCCCACCTATCCTGTGCATTGCCAAAGCCCGGCTTCACACCCAGCTTCTGCCTTCGGGAGGCCTTCCATCTGCAGGCCTACCCAGCACCCTGCAGGCCCACCCAGCCCCAAAGACCCCAAAGAGATGCTGTCTAGAGACCATCACGGGGGCAAGCTGACTCCCAAAGGTGGCCTCTATTTCCAACACCATTCTGCAGACTGGTGTGCATGAGGCCTTTGCCCACCTTGGTCAGCTGTGATGCCCACCCTCAGGAGCGAACAACGGGAGGTGGCTGGGAGAGGAGATGCCGGGCCTATCTCTCCATCTCTTTGCAACTGCTGGCCAAGAATGGCATCTCACCCTGCAGTGCACACTGTATCCAATGCAGAACCGGACATTTTGCTCCACCAGAATCCCAGTCTCTCTGCAGCCACCGCTACAACCCTCCAGGGAGGTCCCACCCTCATGCCATCAGGATCCATCTGCCCAAGGTTCAGTTTCCTAGGCAGCAGAAGCAGTTTGCTGGGTCCCGTGCGGGGCGATATGGTTTGGCTGTGTCCTTACCCAAATCTCACCTTGGATTCTCATGTGTTGTGGGAGAGACCTGGTGGGAGGCAATTGAATCACAGGGCAGGTCTCTCCATGCTGTTCTTATGACAGTGAGTCTCATGAGACCTGATGGTTATTAGAAGGGGGAGTTCCCCTGAACAAGCGCTCACTCTCTTGCCTGCTGCCCTCCATGTAAGATGTGACTTGCCCCTCCTTGCCTTCTGCCATAATTGTGAGGCTTTCCCAGCCACGTGGCACTGTAAGTCCAATTAAACCTCTTTCTTTTGTAAATTACCCAGCCTTAGGTATGTCTTTATCAGCAGCATGGAAACAGACTAATACATGGGGCTCCGAGGGCACACGCTGTGGCCCAGCCATCTCACCCTCCCTGTTGGCCTGGAAACCAGGAACAGGCAGGGGTTGGGGGCCCAACGCAGGTCATTTGCACACGGGATGATACAATAAGATGACAACCAGTGCAGGGAGAGCTGGGAACTCCAGCCTGGTCTGAGGCAACAACTGGATGAGGCAGAAATGGCCTCTGAACCCTGATCTTAAAATTCAATCCTGGCTGTCACCATGACTCACAAAATTAACTAGTTTTTGTGTTTAAAGTTATAGCCCCCAAAGCTGCATAAACAAAACAGACTTCCAGTTGGACCTGATTGCTGCTGCCATGCAGACAGCCACTAGCATCATGGACAGGCGGTGTCTAGATTTCACTCTGCATTTCTGCCGCGTGAACCAGGGGCTCCTTCCTGGTTTTATGTCTTTACCTCTCCTCTTAGTCTGGGGAAGATAAACATTAACCAAACTCAGATGAGAGAGAAGACTCTAGGGCTGCTGGTTCAAAAGGAAGAGAGGCTCATGCACGCATTTTTGCCTGAACTTTACACACTAGGACTTGATTTAATTTGCCACCCCCGTCCCAACTTCACGCCCTCACTGAGCTTCCCAGGCCTCACCGTTAGTGCCTGCACACCATGTGAGGTTGATGCAGCAGTAACCCAGGGCAATGCTCACTTAGACTAAGGTGTGAATTGTGCCCACTGAGCCCTGCACCCAGGACTGTGCGGGCCACAGCCCGGGGAGCCTCAGAGCTGGTCCTGTAGATGCCAATGCCTTGGGGAGCGGGGGTAGGGGGGCGCTGACTCTTCTCAGAGCTCCAGCACGGCTGTACCATCCCCGGAGGAGGCCTCATGCGCCCCACCACCCCACATTTGGAAGGAGTGCTGAGCTTTCTTACCATTTGCCTTCTATTCTCCACCAAGTTGATGCCAATAATTCCCAAGAAGGATCCGAAGCCAAGCTGAAACCAACGAAGAACGAGAGAGAAACACTCATTAGTGTGCCTGGCAGCTTAACACCAGAACACCGACATTTAACAGCAAACAATCCCGCCCTCAAAAGCATTTTATCCAGGGGCAAAGGCCAGACGTCCCCACCTCAGAGCCTCAACCACTGAGCAGAGGTGTGCCAGCTGGCGTTGGGTGGACGTCTCTGCAACGTCACCGTCCTGTCGTCTCTGCTCAGAGGTATTTAATGATGAGTGTGTTTGGCTTGTGATTGTGGGGAAAGAGAGGATCCGGCTCCTGCCCCAGAGACAGCATCTTCTCGGGGGCCCAGGGCCACCACGCACCACCATCTGCCCCGTCTTCTCCAGGTCTGCGATGCCCCTCAGCACGGCTCCTGGGTAAAGTATTAGGAAACTACAGCCGTGGGCCCCAGGGCCACCTGTGACACCCGCTGAGACTGCCTGACCGTGCCTGCTGCTTCGGGAGGGCAAGCAGGGCAGGCTGTCAGCAGGGAGGCACCCTGGAGAAGGGCGGGGAAAGGCGCCTGGGCCAGGCATGGGGGGGCCTTGGACTGCAGCACAGGTCACCAGGGTTCTGGCAGAGCCCCCTTGCTCCACAGGAAGCCCCAGCCCTGGGTAGAAAATGATGCTGGGATGTCGGGAAATACAGAGGCCAGCGGCCGGGCACCCACACCGTCCACAACAGGCCCATCCTGGCACGTGACGCCCACCTAGTGGATGAATTTTTTAAATCAGTGCGAAGAACTTGCGTTTCAGCAACGCCCACCGAAAACGCGGCTTGGAGCAGCCCACAAAAGTGTCTCCCACAGACAACATAGCGACACCAAGGATCGACTCTGCGGAGGTCTAAGGCAGCTGCTGCTCACACGCTGCCACACCGGCCGGTCACATTTCCCAGTGGGTGTCCGGTGGAAGGGGTGGCCCGCGCAGTACAGCCTTGGAGCTCCTGGGGCCGTGGTGTGGAGTTTAACGCAGTGGACACCGGACTTCTTTATGTGAATAGTTTCACCTTTATCTGTAACTGTGTCTGTGTGTCTGTGGTGATAGACACGTACCCATGTGGTTTTCACCAATGGTTTGAGAATTCTCCAGGGATAACAGGAATGTTTCTTCATGGGCTGAGCTTCAAAATACCTCAGCTCAACTCCACAGTTCAAAAATATCAAAATTTCACTTCAACATACATGTATTAAAATATATCTGTTTCACTACGTTTTATTTTGAGGGGACTTTAAAAAAAAAAGGCTTTCTTGACAATGTTGAGATGTTTTCATGTTCTAGGCCGCTTCTTCTGAGGTCAGCTTTTTCCTTAAAGTCTCTACGTTGGCAAAAATCTCCAGAGAGGTGACTCTTCGCCACATTTCCTTAAAGCTAATTTTATTTGTTGTCTCTAGTTGGCTTTCAGAACTGTCTGGGCTAAAGGTAATTTCAATCTGGTCAGTGTAGTGTTAATTCATCACCCAGAAAGTAGATTCTTTACAGAGCATAGCTCGACAGTTAACCGTTTATTTTTTTATTATGTTATTTTGAGGAAACTCTCAAACAAGTGAAGCTTGAGAACAAACAAACAAAACCAGCACTCAGGGTTGATCTGATATTTTGCAAATCACTTGGGGTTCCCTCCTCACAGCCGCCTGCCCTCTGGGTTCCCAGGCCCCCCTTTCTGCTCAGGAAGCAGAAAGCCCCTCACATATGAGACCAGGGTCCTCACACCACTGGCCTCTTGCAATTTTACCAATAAAACTTTTTCTGCACAGATACTGTTTGTATACGTTTATTCATGAACTATACACAGGTAGATAGCGTAGATGTACAAGGCAGAGCCTAAAGATATAAACAAAGGTGAAATAAACAACATTTGTAAAGTATTTCTGAATGCTGAGTGCCAAAAATCTTTTGTCTTTGCTGATTGTCATCAATAATATTATCCGTCTTGGCTGTACTTTAGGTGAGAGTCACAAGATTGAAGAAGCCACATTTTAAAGTCTTGATTTAGCAGTTTATGACATAGCAGCTGGGCTCCGGGGTACGGTAAGGGCGTCGCAGCTGATCCAAGCCACTTCCACAGAGGTTCATTGTCCCAGAATGCAAGCACTTAGGGCAATTTTTATTGCTAATGACAGCGGATGTAATTTCATAGTTCAAAAAATCTCGGTAATTTGGATCTGGGTGACCAGTTCTCGCCAGGCCCAATTAGGCTACCATCAATTTACCTCGCCGCCTTACTGTCCAAAATCTGGTCTGAGGGGTGGTGACGCCAGCACCATCACCTTCTGGTCGTTCCCACCTGAGCGTGGCACTAATACAATCTTTGATCCATGGCTTCTTGGCAGGAATCGTTTCTTCCATGGGCTGGGGTGGTGGGCCTGGACCCTCAGGGTAAAATCCTTCTGGGGTGCTGAGGAGGCTCTGTTTGGCCTTTTCGGGCATCCTGGACTCCTGGCTCCTCCTCCACCTTGGACATTTCCCATCACCAGGCTCTGGCCCCTCTCGCCCCCTGGTCACCCTGTGACCATATCAGGTCAGCCCGGACAATGGAGGGCACCTGGCCCTGTTTTAAGGTCAGCTTGGACCTCAACCTGAATCCTCTCTGCCTTGGACCTGCCTCCGTCCCAGGTCCTGGGGATTGGGACGTGCACATCTGTGGGGGCCGTAATGCTGCTGACCACAAGCACCGATTGAAGCCCTCCCACCTTCAGCCCCAGCCCTGTGACCTGGCGTGGACTCCACCCTGAGAGAACCGCACACCACCTGCCCCCCAGCCAGGCCACCGGCTCAGCACACTCACAATGATCCCCGGGTAGTAGCCCCCCACGGTCACGTTCTCCGTCCTGGTTGTGGCGGCCAGCCCGATGGTCACTATGAGGACGGACACCAGCAGCAGAGACCCCACAAACCAGAGCGACGTCTTCTTCCTCCTTGCGAGCCCTTCTGTAGGGAGAAAGATGAAGACGGGTCAGTGAGGGCTCAGGTTCGGGAGGGTGTCACGGGTGCCCTCTTCTCCCAGCCCAGCAAGCTCTGGGCCGTGCTCCAAGGCCCAGAGGTCCTGGGAGGCACTACCCTCGTCTGCCTCCAGACCCACCTCAGGGGTCCACCCCCAACCTCCATTAGATAACAGAATGAAACCTCTGGACCATAAGCCACTGGACTGGATGGCCTGGTATTTGCAACCAAACCTAATTCTAAGTGTCACAGAACCCAAGAAAGCCAACCAGAGAGGGCCACTTTCCTCAGCCTGCCTCTTCCTCAGTGTGACTCTCTCCCCTCGGTGTCCCGGTGTCCCCGGGAGGACAGGGAACATCTTTTGATCTTTTGTTTACTGTTTTGTCATCACCGTTTGCTCATGGACACACCCTCTCTACCTGCCTATTACGGCCACACACAGTGGCGGGGGTGCTGCCACCAAGGGAGGGGCAGGGAGAGAGGAAGGAACGCAGCAGCCATCCAGTTGTGCCGTCTGTCTTGCTTTGTTTTGTTTTTTGAAAACTAAATCATCTTGATCCCTGTGTGACTCCAAATGAAATTGGGAATTTAAAAAACCATGGCAAGGTCTTCTACTCCAAGATTGTGAAAATCAACATTTGTGTGTGTGCACATGTATGTGTGCATGCGTGTGTGAGTGCGTGTGTTCAGGGGAAGCAGACCCCACACTGGAGAGCCGCCAGCAGTGAGGACGGCCACGCAGACATCATCCACACTCTAGAAGGTCCACGTCTGAAGATTTACACTTCCACAATCCCATCAGCAGAGCTCAATGGCAAGGAAAGCTTATCGTGCCCAAAGAAGGGACTGTTAAGTCCTCGGAAATGAGTTTCACAAAACTATAAATCAATGTACAGATGCAGGATCGCTCTGCTGACCTGAGAGAGCCATTTTTATCTGGCTGACCCAGCAAGGGCACAGCCTTCCTTCCAGGCCCCCTCAGACTCAGCACAGCCACTGGCACAGCCACCCCGCCTGCCTCTTGACCCTCACAAAAATACACTTATCCCAAGAATTTCATCCTAAAACGCTTTTTACCTTCCACCTTGCAGGGGACCAGGTCACTCCATTTGCTAACGTAAGAAACCATTGGCTCCCACCAGCCAGCCAGGCCGCCCCGCCAGGCCCGCTACACCAAGGCAGCCAGCAGCACCATCCTCAGTTTATGCCCCAGGCTGAAGGCCAGAGGTTTCAGCCTCTCCCTGGTTGCCCCATCTCCCGCCTCCTTAGAGGCAGGCTTGTTCCGCATCCACAGGGCCTTTGCACCTGCTGTCTCCCAGCCAGGTGCTTGGAGCCCCTCCCAGCACCGTCTGAAGGCCTTTTTTAAATGTTGTTGCACAGATACCCTGAGCACAGTAGTCCCCACTCACCCCTGCGCTCTCCACAGTCACCCCCTCACTTCTGCCCCTGCAGAGCCTCCCCGGGTGTGAGGAGGCTGAGGGGATGCCAGACAGAGTACACGCTGCAGACATTGGAAAAGGCCAAGTTCAGTGGAGAAAACTTAGGCAGGGCTGGGGTCAGGGTGCTCGGGATGCGTCACCCACAGGCAGCGGGCAGAGGACAAAGCCTTCCCTGAGGGGCCTGAAGATGGCACGGCGCACCCTTCAGCCCAGTGGACCCTTCAGCCCAGTGGAGTGAGGCCCTCCTTCTGAAAGCCACCCTAATGAGACACCGAAGGCTGCGGGCCGGGGAGCAGTTCCCACACCCAGCCCAGGAACCCGCCCTAAGTGTGGGCTCCCCTGCAGCCAGGGCCACGCCTGTGCCCTACTGGTACCCAAGCGACTTCTGCAGGGGTCATGCTGAATAAGCTTGGAGGGATGAGCAAGCGGGTGGACGTGGGGGCGGGCACAGCACGAGGAGCCCAGAGGCCAGGCTGGCCGCCCAGCACCTGGCACCCACACGTCATCCGGTGCCTGTTAGTATGACACTCCCCCCGCCCCGCCCCATGCCTGCAGCCACACCCCTGCCCGGCCCATCCCAGGCCACGCCCACGCCCCAGTTCATCCCATCCAAGGCCACGCCCACGTCCCTGCCGGTCACATCCAAGGCCACGTCCACGCCCCGTTCATCCCATCCAAGGCCACGCCCACGCCCCTGCCGGTTCCATCCCAGGCCACGCCCATGCCCTGTCGCATCCCAGGCCACGCCCATGCCCCGCCCGTCCCATCCCAGGCCATGCCCATGCCCCGTTCATCCCATCCAAGGCCACGCCCATGCCCAGTTCATTCCATCCAAGGCCACGCCCATGCCCCGTTCATCCCATCCAAGGCCACGCCCATGCCCAGTTCATTCCATCCAAGGCCACGCCCACGCCCCTGCCGGTTCCATCCCAGGCCACGCCCATGCCCCGCCCATCCCATCCCAGGCCACGCCCATGCCCCAGTTCATCCCATCCAAGGCCACGCCCACGCCCAGTTCATTCCATCCAAGGCCACGCCCACGCCCCTGCCGGTTCCACCCAGGCCACTCCCATGCCCCTGCTCGTCCCATCCAAGGCCACGCCCATGCCCCGGCAGGTCACATCCAAGGCCACGCCCACGCCCCTGCCCGTCCCATCCCAGGCCACGCCTGCCTTCCTGTGCGCGTGGAGCGTGTCCCTTCTCGTCCTTAGATGGGGAGGACACTCCCCTCGGGTGAGCGAGGCCCAAGCACGCGACGCCTGCCCTGCATGAGGGATGGACGCTGCACCTGCCAGTCGGGAACGCGCGAGGCCTCCTCCAGCTCTGCCTCTGCGTTCCTGGCTTTTCAGCCTCAGACTTCCTTCCGCCTCCCCGCGTCCCTCGTGCTATTTGTGAACTAAAAACCAACCCTCGTTGGGCTGGAAAAACTTAGGAAGGTGATAATGACGTTTTTACAAGGAAAAGGAAGACTCTGGGTCTACGCTGAAAAGCATGATTTTTATGCTGCTCACAAGAGCAATATTTTTAATAGAATACTCATAAATACTGAAAAATACAAAAGGGAAAATTAAATTCACAGTAACCCAAATTAACAAGTAGGTATAAAATCTTATGGTCTTTTTTCAATGCACTATGTTCTTTTTAAAGCATTTTTTCTCAAAGTAGGACCCCAATATTATAGTAGACTTTTCACTGAAATATTGCAATTTGTTAAAAACCTGAAAGGTTATATGTTCACGGTCGTTTCCCCGAGAGACAGGAACAATGGCGGCAGATCCGGCGTCTCCGTCGGGAAGTTGAGGCGGGAAATGACAAAGCCAGCTAGAAGCGAGTGGGCAGAGGAAGGAAGGCACCTCCCGTGGGGGAAACTCTGTTCTGGTTGATTCATGTTAGAAAGGTAGGTAAACTTTTCAAAAACGGACACAAAATTAAAAAATATATGCAATTCCACATTTTGGAAGTTAATGAAGCTGTCATTGTGGAATGACACAAAATCATCCTATTAACGACAGTCCTACCATCCTGGGATTGGGCAGCGCATGGATTTTCAGAGCAGTGTGACTTCCTGATCTCATTCCGTCGTGACCAGAGGCTCCGGGTCGCCTCACCAGCCTCCACGGAGCACCTGCCAGTGCAGCCAAAGGCCAGGTGTCTTCGGCTCACGCAATTCCCCCTTCGGGTGGGTTTCCTGTTTTCCCTCAGGTCTCATTCCAAACTTTTGACTGTTTTCATGTGTTTTAAGAGCAATAGGATTTCTAAAACTAAATTTTATGGCACTAAGTATTTGAGAAAATTATCAGACAAATGCTCTCCTAAAGGATTTTGTTGTGTGCTTTTTCTTAATTAAATGCCCTGCACACATGTAACATTATGCTCCAAGTAATTGACCAGATGACTCAGCGTCTCCTTGGAGCCACAGGTAGAACCTTCAGTGGGGCTCCTGTCCCAGCCTCCTGGGGATGCCTGTCTGTCAGGACCTCCTTGACTCCATTCTGGTTCTTAAAGCCGGAAGCTCTGTTTGCTTCATTGGCATGAAGAGTGGGGGCCCAGCAAGACCCACTGGGTTATCTGCCCTTGTCTAGTCAGTCGGTAACATGTTGATTTGCTAATTACTAAGCGAAGTGTTGGACACATCTCCTCTGAAATCACGCAAATCCTCCTACTAACCGTTTTCAACCTAATTTTGCTGTTTACCCCTCTTTCCTGAGTCTGACTTCTCCCCGTATCTGCTGCATAATGAAAAGCAGAAGGTATGAGCCACCCTTTTATCAGCATTTTTATCGCAGATTCCTAGATTAATACAGGTCTAGAAACACAGCAGGACTTACATGGGACTCTGGAAGAAATGGTTCTGAATAATCTCATTCAACTACGCAATGGTAATATTCTGACTCCAGGTGTAATAGAGATAGCAAAAAGAAGAGTCCCAACCGTATATACATTTTATAAATACATGACACAGCATAAAAATAAGACAAAAATAAACTCAAGAAAAGAAGGTGGGATTTTTTTTTTTTTTTGAGATATAGTCTCGCTCTGTTGCCCAGGCTGGAGTGCAAGGGTGCAATCTCAGCTCACTGCAACATCTGCCTCCTGGGTTCAAGCAATTCTCCCTGCCTCACCCTCCCAAGTAGCTGGGATTATGGGTGCCTACCACCACACCCAGCTAATTTTTTGTATTTTTAGTAGAGATGGGGTTTCGTCATGTTGGCCAGGCTGCTCAAACCCCTGACTTCAAATGATCCACCTGCCTCAGCCTTCCAAAGTGGTAGGATTATAGGCATGAGCCACTGCACCTGGCCAATATCTTTAGAATTACCATAAGATATAAGCATTTTAAGGTCTTTCAAAAGAAAGGGGGTTCCACTTAGGAGAAAGATAACTGAAATCACCTGAATAATTTCTTGATTTTCCTGTCCTGTTAGCAGAAATACTGTTATTATGTGCACTGTTAAAATTAAAGTGTTCCTAAGTGCCCTATTAATTAAAATATCTACTGTAAGTTTATTGCAGAGGCAGCTTACAGGGACTGGACCCAAACCATTCTGGGTCTATCCAGACCCACTGTGTGGCCTTGAGCAGCCGTTTGATCTCTGAGCCTGGGAGCAGAGAACCCCATGAGAGGCAAGAGCTCTGCCTATCTTGTTTCTGGTTCCCAGTGCCCAAATGAGGACACAGACACATCTCCTAGTGTGGAATGAATGAAGGCACTTCAGTCTCCTGAGCTGTAGGATGGAAATCATGAGAACCACCTGCTTACCCACTTCTCAAGATTGTGGTAAGTATCCAGTGAGACACGATACGTGAGCTTTCCTACAAGTTTTTATCAGTGTCGTGAATATGCTGATCGCCAGGGCAGTGTTAGCTGTAAGACGCCATAGCAGTTATCTTGAGACTGTGATAACCGTCCATTGAGGCACGGTACATGGGCTCCCATACGGGACTTTGTCAACGTAATGAATATGCTAATCATCAGGGCACAGCTGTCATCCTTCACCAGCACTTCTCCCACTGGGAGTTGCCAGAAGTTCTGAGACGTGAAGATGAGTGGGTCAACAGCTACCTCTCCGCTATCGTGCTTGTGGATTTTCTAATTCTAGTCTTCCCCAGGTGCAGCCCATCTAGAGTGTCTCAGAATATCTCCTTGTCACTCCCCAACTAGCCCCCAGTTCTCCCACCTGACCAGCTGTCCCCTTCCTGGCTCCCACCCCCAGCCTTGGCTGGAGGAGCTGAACCACAGGAGCCTGTGTCCATGCCTGGTCCTACCTGGAAGAGGTGCGAGGCTGGAGGCCAGGGTTTACCTGCCCCTCGGACCACTTCCTCTACTCTGAAGAGCCAGGAAGGGGAATGTCACAAAGCACGGGCGGTGACACCGCCAGGAAGGTTCCAAGAGACCATCTATCTTCCTGCCAGCAGGGCCTGGCATGCCCAAAAAGAAGGATGGGTTCCGTTTAATCATGTGGGGACACCAGTCATGGTGTCAAAGTAATAATCCCACGTAAAACTGTCATCACTCAGCCATCAATTTCCCTTTCATTCTGATCTTACACATGCCCAGAATGGTGAACAAAGAAGTACAAAGAAGAAAAACCATAATCCCACCCCTAGACACACCAAAACAGAAAGACCATAATCCCACCCACAGACACACCAGGGCTTCATATATTTTAGTAAAAGACCAACTCCAGGCAAAAAGACACATAATCCCACCCCCAGACGCACCGAGGCAGAAAGACCATAATCCCACCCCCAGATAAACAACAACATAAAGACCATAATCCCACCCCCAGATAAACAACAGCAGAAAGACCATAATCCCACCCCCAGACACAGCAATGTTTCATATACTAAAAAGACCAGCTCCAGGTATTATGTTTTAAGGTTTAAAGTTCTTTGTCAGAAGAAAATCTAAGTCAAGTGCTATTTTTAAACCATCAAGGCATTCTAATATAATAATGATAAAACTAGTTAATAAACAATAAATAGTTATCATTACTATGCATTAATAGACTGATCCATTTCCTGGAGAATGAAGACACGTAAATACGTTTGATCATAGAGCATTTGGCTTTAGAGAGTGGAAGGTATATAGCGGTTTCTTTTAGAAAGAAGCCAGATTCCTCAATTATTTTAAATAACAGTAACTCATTTGGTTGTTTGAGACTTTCCAAAGATGCCCCGATCAGAGGGCCGTGAGGTGAATCCCCAGCAGTTTCGTTGAATTATTTCTGTGGGAGGGAGGGAGCGGCCGAGCCGCCTAGACGTCACCCACCCCCTCAGTTCAGCCATCAGAGCTTCACTGACTAGGGAACTCCGTTCCCCTCGATCTGCACAGCCCTCTCCCCTCAGGGAAACACCCTACGTTTTTCCCATCCCGCCGTTTCCCAGCAGAGCACCGCGCCCGGCTTGCACACTTGTGAGAACACAGCAGCTTTCCTGTTTTCCTGCCTGTGCCCGCTCCAAGGCTGCAGGGCCTTGATCTGGGAAGTGGGACAGTTGGAGTCCACGAACACCCTGGGGAGAAACGCGAGGGGGCGAGCCGAGGCCAGGCGGCACTGTAAGATTCTGTAAGCACCTCTGCACCGTCAAGCAGAAAAAACGCTACCTGGCTCTTCGAAATGAAGTTTTCCCAGAAAATGGGTAGGTTGGAATAAATGGAAAAGATGGAAGAGGAGCACACGGTGGGTGTTCCCGTTAAGTGTGGTGGCCTCTTCTTCATAAGAAAACCCAACTGGGGAAGAGACGCAAAGAGGAACCGATGCAGAGTCAGAGAAAGGCAGATAGAAAGAGTGAGAAGGCAGAGACAGGAGGGGGAGAGAGAAAGAGGGAGGGAGGGAGGGGAGGGGAGAAAGAAGAAAGAACGAGAAGGAAGGAAGGAAGGACAAAGAGAGAGAGAGAAAGAAAGAAAGAAGGAAAGAAAGAAAAAGAAAGAAAGGAAGGAAGGAAAGAAAGAAGAAAGCAAAGCAAGCCTGAGGAGGGGGAGACAGGAGAGAGAAGGCGAATGAATGAACGAGGGTTGGCGATGCCGTGCAGAGCGCGAAGCGTCCGAAGCCAGAGCTCAGAGGCGGCGCGGGGACCAGAGCCGGCCGAGTCTCTCCAGGGTCTGCCCCGGCGGACCTGCGGCCCGCGGACTCCCAGCCCCGGGGTCCCCACGCTCCCCGCCCGCACTCACCTGCGGCGTCCAGCAGGGCCAGGGGCCCGGGCACCGGCGGCTGCATCCCGAGGCCCTGGGCCCCACCCGGCTCGGGCGCGAGGGCGACAGTCCCAGTCCCGGGCCCAGCGCCGCCCCTTTCCCCTCCCCGCGCTCCCACGCGCTCCCCCCCTTCGCTTCCCCCTCCCCCGTCCCCACTTCTCCCTCCCGCCCAGTCCTGCCGCCTCCTGGTTTCTGGAAATCAGGACGTCCGGGAAAACGAACCCGTGTGCGCCGCCGGGACTGGGAGACAGACCCCAGAGGACACGCCTGGGGAGGACCCGGGGGCCTGGCACCCCCGCGGGGGCCGCGCTCGGCTCTTGGCGGTGCCACGGGGTGGGCCACAGGGTGGGCCATCGCGTTCGCCTCCCCATTGGGGTGACAGGCGTCCTCGTCCTGGATCTCTGTCTTCAGAGGGCAGCACGTCTGTTAAAACTCAGTCTGCCGTGAATGAGCAAATGAGGAGCAAGTGCGTCCTGCAGCCCCTCGGCAGCCCCAGGTCCGGCTAACTGGCCTCTCCAAGGCCTGCGCACGGTGTCCACAGCACTGAAGTTGTTCTGAGTAAAATCTGCTGCTGGAAAGAAGGGCAAGGAAACGGAGGCCAGAGAGCATGCCTCACACAGCAGCAGGGAAAAAACCAAGATCCTTCTAAATTTATTTTTAACATCTTCAAGTCAAGGACATCAGCGGTCCCTTCACAAACGAAGATGCTTGAACGACCACTAAACTCAGCCCCTAGAATTAGGGGAACACCGTGGGAACAAGAGGACGCTGTTTCACCCTCATCCTGTTGGAAAACCCTTAAACAACTTAAAGAGTGTTAATGAAAACATGGGAATCTGCGCTCACTGCTGGCTGCAGGATCACGCGTGGTGCCACCACTGTGAAAGCAACATGCAAGAAAATTGAAGGTGTAGATGGCAAGCCAGCAATCTTCTCTTTATGGACGCACCCAGGAACATAAACACAGATACGCTCCTTAGAGCCAGGAGCCGTGGTTCTCAGCCATGCTGTCATTAAAGTCATCTAGGAATGTCTTTAAAAGAAGAAGAAAATTACTGCCATCCTGAACCCAGACCAGATCAATTGAATCAGAATTTCTGGGAAGAAACGAACTGCTAAGAATTCCCTAGTCCTTCTGATAGGCCATCCACTGTGAGAGAGAAACTACCATGAGAAGAATTCATGTACAAGAAGACACACACAGAATATCCTCCACAGCACTGTGTGTCCAGAACAAAGGCACAGCCTGAACATCCAACACGGGGAGACACGATAAAGAAACGGGCGTATACAGTGAAATGCCACATGGCAGTTAAAACAAAAGAGAGCCACACAGATCAATGTGAATAAATGCCAAAAACACAGTGTGGAGCACAAATACAAGTGCACAGTACCACAGCGAGTATGATAACATTTACATAGAGTTTCAAACAGGAAAATCAACACTGTTCATTCACTGACCCTCTCAACACTTACTAAACATCCACAATATACCAGACACTGTACCAGGTACTTGGGACGTATCAATGAGCAAGGCAGACAAGGCTCCTGGTGGGGAACAGAGACCATGAATAATAATATAACAAACAAGAAAAATGCATGGCATGTTAGAGGGCAGTACATGCTATGCAATACATACGTACACACACACACATACGTGCATACATACACAGCCAGGCAATACATGCTATGCAATACATACGTACACACACACACATACACATACATGCATACATACACAGCCAGGCAATACATGCTATGGAATACATATGTACACACACACACATGCACATACACATACATGCATACATACACAGCCAGGCACTACATGCTATGGAATACATATGTACACACACACACATGCACATACACATACATGCATACATACACAGCCAGGCAATACATGCTATGGAATACATACGTACACACACATGCACATACATGCATACATACACAGCCAGGCAATACATGCTATGGAATACATACGTACACACACACATACACACACACATGCACAAACATGCATACATACACAGCCAGGCAATACATGCTATGGAATACATACGTGCATACACACACATACACATATACATACATACATACACAGCCAGGCAATATGTGCTATGGAATACATGCACACACACATATGTACATACACACACTCACACAGCCAGGCAATACATGCTATGGGATACATACATACATGCATATGTACACACACATACATACATGCATGCACACATACATATACAGCCAGGCAATACATGCTGTAGAATATATGCATACATACACACCCAGGTAATGCAGGCCACAGGAAAGGAAAAAGGGGTAAAGACACAAAATAGAAAGTATAGTGTGGGAGAGGGAGTGAGCTAGGGTTTTGAAGTAGTGAAAAGAGATCTCATTGAGCGGTGACGCGGAAACCCACGCTTGGTATGGAGGTGGTTGCTCTCCCAGACATCTAGGGCAGAGTGTCCAGGGGAAAGGAACCCCATGCAAAGGCCCTGGGGTGGAGCTGTCCAGGTCCAGGGTAGCAGCAAGGAGACCAGGGTGCCAGAGGCTGCAGGGACGAGGTGGTGGACATCGGGGTGAGCTACAGGACCGCTGGCCTTTGCTCTAAGTGATGTGGGGATTCTTGAAGGGTCCTATGTAGGAGCACTGGAGAGCGGTTGTAGAGCAGCAGGGTAGAAGCCAAGAAACTGGTTTTAGGATATTATGATGCAGTAGGAGGTGACAGTGGCTTGGACCAGGTTGGGAAAGTGCAGGTGCTGAGACAAAGTCAGGCCAAATTCATACTGTGACAATACATAAATACTGCATGTAACTTATGTGTCAGTACAAGTCATGTGTGCAGCTACACAGACACCATGAGTCGTGTGTGTAGATGCATGGATGTCATGAGTCCTGTGGGCAGATGCACGGATGTCATGAGTCGTGTATGAAGATGCATGGACATCATGATCGTGTGTGGGCACATGCATGGATGTCATGAGTCGTATGTGGGCAGATACATGGATGTCATGAGTTGTGTATGAAGATGCATGATGTCATGAGTCACGTGTGGGCACATGCATGATGTCATGAGTCGTGTGTGGGTTGATGCATGACGTCATGAGTCATGTGTGGGCAGATGCATGTCATGAGTTGTGTGTGCAGGTGCATGGATGTCATGAGTCGTGAAGATGCATGGACATGAGTCATGTGTGGGCAGATGCATAGATGTCATGAGTCTTGTGTGGGCAGATGCATGGATGCCATGAGTCGTGTGTGGGCACATGCATGGATGTCATGATCGTGTGTGGGCAAATGCATGGATGCCATGAGTCAAGTTATTTGCCCACCTGGGCGTCCCAAAATGCTGGGATTACAGGTGAGAGCTACTGCCCCTGGCCACAGTCTGTTACATTTGAAAAAATAAATGGACAAATGAAAAAGAAAGGGAGGAATGACAGTGCCTGCTGGGCTCTGCAGGCAGAGTCCCAGTCTGAGCTGCCGGGTGCCCAGCCTCTTCCACCCTGAGAGCAGCCCGGGGATTCCCATGTTCATCTCATCCCCCTGGGCTCAGGGAGCCCTTTTAAAGAGGAGATAAAGTGCCTGCCAGGCGTGGGGAATGCGCAGGGGCTGACGGGAGCACAGCAGACTCAGAATGTCCTTGGGGGCTCCCTGAGCAAGCCCCCTGCCCCCGGCCTCCTCTCTCCAGACCTACACCTTGGAAGTGGTGGGAAGCACAGCCCCACCCCCCACCCACAGTCAGCTGCTGTCCTTCCTTCCTGCCAGCCTGCCTTCTTCCTCTGCTCACTCAGAGATACGGGGGTCCCCAAAACTGGCTCACCCTCCCCTCACCCTAACTCTCTGTGGTACTCACATCTCTAAACCATTCCTGCAACATCCAGTGAGGTAGGGAACCAACACGCTGGCTCCCCACTGTCCTATCCTGGGTACGGACCAGGCTCGGAGCAGGGCTGGGCGCTGGGCTATGGAAGTACAGGAGTGATCAGTGCCCTGGGGCCCTTATGGAGCTCAGAGGCTGCTGGAGAAGAGACAGGAAGACGGAGCCCCTCCCAGGCGACACCCCCGTGTGAAGCTTAGCACTGAGAGGCCACAGAAGGTCCTCAGGGAGGACTCCCAGGAGGAGCGACACAGAGCTAAGAGCGGGAGGGTAGAGAGCCAGGCTGCTTGGGCCCTTCCTCGAGGATTGGGTGAATCTGTTATCCCCAAGCAAGCTCCAGGAAACAGGAGACAGGCCAGGTGCTGGCTTGATGGGGGCAGTGGATGGGGTTGCCCAAGAAACACTGAGACCTGTGAGCATCCAGGAAAGTGTTCAGGCTTGGGAGGAGTCCAGGAGCCAGAAGTCACAAGACTGTCAGTCCTTACAGTGGGACAGGTCCTTGGGGGCCGTTCCAGTTACTACAACAACGGGACAAATAACCCCATAACTCAGTGGCTTGAAAAACATTTATTTAGTTCAAGTTGACATTTGGGCAAGGCTTGGGGTGGACGCTCTGACTCTACTCTGCTCAGGCTTAGCTATGGTGGCTCCCAGGACTGGCGCGTGGCTGACTGTGGCTGTGACTGTGACCTCAGGGTGACAGGGCTTCCTTACAACATGGAGGCTGGGTTCCCAGGAATGTCGGGCGAGAGAGAGAGAGCTGGGTGGAGTCTGTGGCACCTTCCGCAACCCAGCCTTGGCTTCGTGCTGTGTTACCTCTGCCACTTTCTCTTCAGCAACACGATGACAAAATTCAAAGGAAGAAAGAAGAGACTCTCCCTGTGTGTGGGAAATAGAACGGTGATGTGGTCGTTCAGAGAAAATATAATTTGCACAGGGATCGCTGTGTCAAGACAGGACTCTCACTACAGAGGAGGCTGGAAGATGAGCAAAGTGACAACCAGAGACAGCGAACCTTTTCCTCTTACTTCAGCAGGTATTTAGCAGCTGTTTGGGCAGCTTGGAATGGGAACTGCTGAAGGCTCCCTAAACCACAGTTAATGAGGTCAGCATGGAGGAGGCAGCCGCGCCAGGCAGGGACATGGTCCTGGAGCCAAGGAGGAAGCGGCTGTGACAGGCAGGGAGATGGTCCTAGGATCCATGAAGGAGGCAGC